TTTCCGTGGTGTAGTGGTTATCACATCCGCCTAACACGCGGAAGGTCCCCGGTTCGATCCCGGGCGGAAACATTTATTTTGCTTAAAAATATAATAAACTTAGATAACTTATTTTACAAATAGTTAAATCTTTGTTACGTAATTTTACTTCAGTAGTAAAATGTATCAACATCGTAATCTACATTTGTAAAAATAGAAGTTCCGAGAACTCAAGGAGGAAAAGTTTTTTCCTTATTAGCATTATGACTTTATGTGATTCCCGGATAGAATGATCACTGTTTTTCATTCACTGTTTTCATTTTCATTCACACATACATAAAACACATCTAACACGCTTTAAATAAACAATTAATTACAGATTATAAAACGATATGATTTAAACAATTTCATATATTAAACTTTCTCATCAAATGAATTATATAAGGTAAAACTTCGTTTTCTGGAACCAACAATAAATAAGTCAAAAGGAAATGAAAGAACAGAAAAAAGATATATAAATTTGCTCTGATAGCAACGAGGAAAATGGAAAACTGACGTTCTTCGAAAAGAAAGAGATTCTTGTTATCATGCGTGTGTCGCAAGTAGACGGTAATTCCCAAGTGAGTGCCTTGAACTTTTAACTATAAACATTAACATGCCAGGGTGTATAAATACCGTGCAACTCGGTGCATTCAATCACTATCTGCTTGTTCATAGAACTGATCATTGATTAATAATCGAAGACAAGATCTAAAGAAGTGCAACCATGAAGGCGTTTATTTTCGCCATTCTGGTTACCTTTACGGTAGCAGCATCTCTTGATACAACGGTAACTTCGTCTGAATCTCTGGTAAGATTAGAAAAATATACGTATATATTTACTATAAATTGTAAAATATCATGTGATAAAACAGTAACTAAATTAAGTTTACAATAAGATATAAATCGTTCTTTTTATCCCAGCGCCTTCGTCGTGAAGCTGACCCAGACCCAGAACTCCGTATACTACCACCAAAACCCGGTAACCGACCAATACATATTCCAGCACCAAGACCACCTCATCCTGTAAGTAATTAAATGTTAATAATTGTTAATAT